CATTCTGAGTTCTAGTGGCCTTATCTAACCACTAGAGTGTGCACATGGTCCGGTATTAGTTTGTGCCGGGAGATAGCGGCATTAGTTTGTGCCGAGCGGCAGTAGTTTGTGTCGAGCAGATTCAATTACGTGACTTCGGTCGCGAGTACGTGACTTTGGTCGCGAGTTCAGACCGGTATCAGTTCAGTTCAGATATATATGCTTAGTTCATGATATTGTTATTATTTACGATGTTTTACATTAGTATGAGTTTCCACGGAGCACAGTGCCTAGTGCTCACTCCCCAGCTTTATCTTATTTTTCAGGTCAGCAGGTCGGGCCGGGAGAGTGACGTGACGGGAGCTGATCGGGACTTTCAGGATATTTATATATATGTGTTTTGGACTGTATAACTAAGATTTACGCTTCCGCTTACTTTTGACGATATTTTGTCGATGCTTTGATGATTTTGACGGTTTTATCATATTTTGATAAACTTTTCAGATAACACAGTTTTTCAGTAACCGGATGTTTTTAAAAGTTAAAACAACGGTTTTCTAAAGTTAAGTAAAGATTTTCACGGTAGCACCCCAACCAGTTTCGCAAAGTAAAAAAAAAAAATGTTTTAGTTTTCAAAGACTTTGCGAATAAATGCGCTACTCTGATTTATCTAGTAAGGTGGGGTGTTACAACTTCTGACTTGACTTTGCTTCGCTTCTAAAGTTGGGTCTTAGAACTTTTGGGAAAGAGGAATACCTGGGTCTTTCCGAAGAAGGCAATTGATGTGAGGTCATTGGTTTCGATTAACTGGCAGGCTCAAACACAGTAAATAGAAAGACGGAAGTGAAAGATCAAGCCAAGACTTGAGGCTACGATACGGAGGCTACTGTGTATGTTACGGATCTGAACTAAGTGTCCTCTCTCTGGATCAGTCAGTCAGAAGTCAAATAAAAGAGTAGCAAATGAAATAAATAAAATAATAATATATTATTTAATATATATTTTTAATAAATTTATTTATGTAAATATATTATATACACTTAATATATTTATTTATTTAATTATAATAATTAAATCACCTTGTTTGATTTAACTTTTGTTATCATTTATTTTATTTTTTTATACTCATTTACTTTATTTAATTTTAATTAAATTTTATTGTATATTAAAAAATGAATATATTAAATAATAAATATTATATTTATTACATAATAATATTATATAAATAAATATATTAAATAATATAAAATAATTATTAAATAAGTAAAAAATATAAATATATCAGATAATACCACTTTTAATTATAAAATTTATACATAATATATTTATTAAATGTGAATTAATTACGAAATAAAAATCACCAAATGAAATAAATAAAAAAATAATAATATATTATTAAATTTATTTATTTATTTTAATAAAAATATTATTTGATATATATTTAAATATATTATATCTTATATATATTATTTATTTAAGTATATTTATTTCTTTAAATATATATATATATATTTAAATATATTGTGCATATTTAATTATATTATTTAACAAATTTTTTTTTCTGATAATATGATGTTGAATTGTAAATACATATATATTTCAAGTCATATTATTCATATATTGTCTTGTAGATCAAGTGGGATATGTGGCTTGTTTTGCAAGAGGTGCATGGTTCCAGTCTCCCTGTGGCCATATGTTTGCATTTATGCCACATAATTGCCACCTAAGCTTACAACTCAGCAAAAAAAAAATAAAAAAAAATAGGAGAATTTCCACGAAGGCCAACCGGTAGCACTGACCTGCTGTAGGTGGTCATGGGACGAAAAAACCAATTTTTTTCACTTACAGGACCATTTCTAAAAATGCAATTTTCTCAGGACTAAAACCAAAAAAGGGGTCCAATATGGGACTAAAAGATTTATTTAGCCAAGTTAGATGGAACTCTATTGATAGTGTAAACTGCAGTAGTGAAAGCATCATCCCAAATCTTAATAAGCATTGATGAATGAGCAATCATGAACAGACCAAGTGCCACTATGTGCCTATGCTTTCTTTCAGCTAGGAAATTTTGTTGGTGAGTGTAAGGGCAAGATCTTCTGTGATGGATCCCATTTTCTTCAAGGGATTTGGATAAGTTTCTATACTCTCCCCC